CCCCAAAACCCCAAAACCCCAAAACCCCTGGCTAAAAATTTCGGGTTGAAATGACGTTCATAATAAGTTAAAGTAGGAAATGACGATAGAAGGGTTTGAAGTGGAGCAAGATTAGAAAGTATGACTAAAAATGAGAGTGTAAGATCAAGAAGAAGGAGAAGGAAGGATGAGAAGGAAGGATTGGGTAAGGGGTTGATGGTTAGAGTTTACTACGAATTGAGGTCTTCTCTGTTCCTTGTGCTCTGTAAGATTCCAGGAACTGTTCATCGACAGTGAAGTTGAGCTGGACTTCTTGGTGGAACTTGTTGTAGTACTGGGTGCTGATGAAGTCAATGAAGGTGTTCATCTGTTCATTGATGAGTTTTGGAAGTGAGTGGCCTTTATTGTGTCTGATGATGGTATGTTCACTTTTGTCACAATAAGCATTGATAAAAGTTTCTTCGAGTGTGTCATTGTCATCAAACAAATATAGCGCCTAAAATTTAATAGCCAATGTTACCGGAATTGGATAATCTTGCCCTATAACTTCAACAAACGGATATTTCTTAGGCATTCTCGGAGATGCCAGAATCATAAAACTTGGCGTATGAGTAATATGAGGAAATCCTAATTCTTTCCCTTTCACCAATGCTCTTACAAACAATCTATACCAAAGCATCATATCAAAATCTCAAATCAATTTTGCCTAAACCCGACCTACCCTCCTTGAGAAAACCCATAAATGCCATCAAAAGGTCCATTCTGTTCCATAAATTCGTAAAGGAAGTTATAAGACTCCAGAAATGTCTCGTTATCGCCAAGACCACCCTTGCCACTGCCAATCCAGTAGTAGAAGGGGCCTTCGAACTTGGCTTTGACCCGAGGATCGTATACTTCTTGGTCAGGAATTTTATGAGGGGCTTCGACGAACACGAATTCAATGTAATCTTTGAAAATGGTCTGGTAGTAATCAAGTTGGGCTTCAAGAACTTTGGCATTGTTGTAATACCCATGAATGCACAAAATTCTTAATTTTTTAGGCTCAGAATCCATATTTTTAATATTTCTTCAACTTTTCATACATACGTTGGGGTTTTGGGGTTTTGGGGTTTTGGGGTTTTGGGG